CAGAGGCTGGAAATGGAAGTGGGGAGAAGGGGAATGAAGAGAAATTGGTTAAAGGGTACACAAATACAGCTACATAGAAGGAATAAGTTCTAGTGTTCAATAGTGCAGTAGAGAAATTATAGTTAACAGTAATTTATTATGTATTTCAAAATAGCTAGAGAGAAGAATTGTAATGTTCCCAAAACAAAGAAAAGATAAATGTTTGAGGTGATGGATATTCCAGTTACCCTGACTTGATCATTACACATTGTATCCATGAGCAAAGCCCAGACCTACAGTCAGCCCTGCCACTTACCAGCTCTGTGCCCTTGGTCAAATCACCTAACTTCTCTGGGCCATACTTTATAAGATGAGGCTAATAGTAATGCCTGTCTCCATGGGTTGTGTGAATGGTGCCTAGCACAGGGACTGGCACACGGCAGAGGTTCAAATAAAATAAGGGTTTCTTTAGTGCTTGCCCATCCTTCCTCCTGGGAGCCACCCCCAACCAGGTCTGGAGCTGTCCGGAGTGCTGAAGACCTCCCCTCTCTTTCTCCATCCCCCTCTATGTGTCTCTCTTTATTTCATTCCCTCCTTCCTTCCTGCTTGTGGCTCCCCAGAGCACTAGGGTCTGAACAGATCTAATTTTCCAAGTGGCTTCTTCAGGCTCCTGAGAGGGACAGGTAGGGAATGAGCCATGTAGGAGGCTCTTCCCAGGGAGCAGGATCAGAAAGGGACAGGCAGAGGAGTGGTGATCGTACAAGCTATTGGGGGAAAGGACTCCCTCAGGCCAGAGTCTACTCTGAGAGCTTGACATCTGGGGACCCTGTTGCAGGAACCTTAGGGCCTACCAAAAGGCAACAAGTCAACTCCAATAACACAGAGTGGCAGGTCGGTCTGTGGGGAGCTTGCTCTGGAAGAAGGTAAGAGGCACCAGGTTGGGGGACAGGAGGATGACCCTTTGCTGCAGGGGCTGCAGGACCCCTGACTATGACAGGAATCCCCCATCCCCCTTCCCCAGGTTCCTGTCACCTTCCCTATTTTGGTCATTTATCTGTTAGTGCAGCTAAAGGCATCTTCAACTTTTGGGGATTATGGGGCTGTGGAGTTGACTAACTCCAGGAGCTTGGCTCTATGAGCCAAGCACTCTGTGGCTAATCTTTGGGGCCCATCTCCCCGAGTCTAAAAATACAAATGGTCTCTCCCCAGGAGGATGGCACATAAGTCTATTGTGCCCAGAGATGGAGGCACTAGAGGCTCACACACTCTTGGGAGAAGGGCTGGGAGAGGAGATGTGGCCAGCTTTAGAGACAAAAACCATCCGTCTCTGGATTTTTGTAAACATGTAGAACATCAGAGCTGAATGATCTTTGGAAATCTCAATGTCTAAGCCAAGTTCTTCCTGTACAGCTGGGAAAGCTGAGGCACAGAAAGGGTTGTAGACTCTGTCCCATAAATCAGCGACAGAACTGGGATTAAAAGCCAGCTCCTGCCTTGACCCAGTGCTGGCCTGCTAAGATCTTCAGCCCTCTGTGAGCCCCTGCAGGCCATCCACTGCAGAGTTCTCAGGATACTGAGCGTGGCCAGCAAGACCTCAGGCCAGGGGAGCCTGCTGCAGCTTTGTGGAACTGAGGGCTACGCACACTCCTTTCTGTGCCTGTCTCCCTGTCTGTACACAGATGAATTGATTTAGATGTTTATATCTCCAAGGATCCTTCAGCTCTGATGTTCCAGTTGTCAATAAAAAGAGGTGATTTTTGTCTTTGACTAGGAGGCAGGAAGCCAAGCTCTGGTTCAAGTTCAGTCCTAAGTTTTGGTGAGACCTTGGACAAGTCACTGTCCCACCCAGAGCCACAGTTTCCTCCTCTGTAAAAGGGAGTAAAAAGTCCTTCTCAGGGCCTCTGGGCATGGCGGTGTGTGCCTGTAGTCTCAGCTACTCAGGAGGCTGAGGCAGGAGAATTGTTTACCCGGGAGGAGAAGATAGCAGTAAGCTGAGATCGCGCCATTGCACTCCAGCCTGGGCAACAAGAGCGAAACTCCATCTCAAGAAGAAAGAAAAGTAAAGAAAGAGTGGAATAGAAAAAGAGAAGAATAGAATTGAGCAGAATAAACTAAAATAGATAGGAAGAACAGTAGTAACTATGAGACTGCATTGCAGATAGCAAGGGTAAGTGGTTCTGAGAGATGTCCTTTCAAGGTACTCAAGTTCTATACATTCAGCCTCGTGAGTCTACCAGGGTAAAATGTATTTCTTACTGTGGGGCACAGTCTGCCTGACCCTGGCTGTACTCTGGGAACACGGGGAGGATCAGGCTGGGCTCCAGCCACGAGGAGCCTGAGTATGGTGGGAGACAGGTGTGTATGTGTATGCCGGGCAAAGGGGAGCCCAGAGGCTGGAGCTGCGGATCTGCTTGGAGATGTGGAGGGCTTCACAGAAGAGGTGACATTGGACAGGGCCTGACAATGAGAAATTGATTTTGGAGTGGAGCTGACAGGGAAAGGCATTCCAGGCAGAGCACACTCCAGCTAGTGCAAAGGCGTGGAGGTAGCGTGGAGGTAGCGTGGAGGAAGACTGGGAGAACATCAACAGTTTGGCTCTGCATGGCCAGAGCCTGGCAGCAGTGGGTGGGGAGACCCTCAGACTCCTCCTCCACCCCTGCTGCAGGGGACTGAGCTCCAGCCACGGTGCTGGCTCTCAGGAGCCAGGAGGCAGAGGGGTGAGGGGCACACTCTCTGGAGTCAGATTGAGAGGAGTCCCACTGCCGCCCCCTCCACCCCATCCGGCACCCATGTGACCTCAGGGAAGTCACCAGACCTCTCTGTCCTATGGTTTCTTCATTAATGGCACGAGGCTGATCTACTGCAGACAGCGGGCTCAGGATCGTGCCTTCACACAGCGGCACAGCTTGCAGCCCGCGCTGGCGTTTCCCGTGAGGTGGCTTATTCCCGAGTTGTGTGGAGCAGCTCCCCCGCGTGGCCAAACACAGAACAGCGCTTCCAATCCTTAAGAGAAAGGGCGTTTTGGGAAGTTGGCCCAGCAGAGCAGATGAGACAAAGTCCTGGCTTCTGTTTCCACTCAGTCCTGGTGGGCCTCTCTTTGAGGACCTCCGGCACTATCTAAGACATGGAGGGGTGGGCTTGTGGCCCCCACAGTATGGGCCCCCAGAGGCTCAGATGAAGCCAGGACTCCAGGCTCTGAAGTCCATGTGATGAGGGGTCTTCAGGCTCCAGCAAGGAGACCCTCAGCCTTCCTGGGTTTTCTGCAGAAAGGGAGTGTAGTGGGAACCCAGGCCACGTCCCAAACAAGTGGTGGCCCTTTTGTGGCTGTCATTGCCATGCTGGTCAGGACCCAAGCGGGGAAGACAGAAAAGATGCAAAGGAAGTCCATTGTGGACCCCGACCTTGGCAAGGGCTCTCTTCTGTCCTGGTGCCTGGGGGTGAAATTGGCAGCTTTATTATTCGGGGCTGCTTCTCTTACTAAGGTCAAGATGAATGTATCCGTGTCTACTTAGACCTTAAGGATGCCACTCAGGACCAAGGTTAAGATTACAAGCGGATGATGATAAGCAAAATGCGGTCTATCATACAGTGAGTATTACACAGTCACGAAAAGGAATGAAGTACTCAGGTATGCTGCAATAAAGACGAACCTGGAAAGCATTACTCTAAGTCAAGGAAGCCAGACACAAGCCAGGCACGGTGGCTCACACCTGTAATGCCAGCACTTTGGGAGGCCCGGGAAGGGGGTGTGGATCACGAGGTCAGGAGTTCGAGACCAGTCTGACCAACATGGTAAAACTCCGTCTCTACTAAAAATACAAAAATTAGCTGGAATACAAAAATTAGCCAGGTGTGGTGGCAGGCGCCTGTAATCCCAGCTGCTCAGGAGGCTGAGGCAGGAGAATCTCTTGAACCCAGGAGGCAGAGGTTGCAGTGAGCTGAGATCATGCCACTGCACTCCAGCCTGGGTGACAGAGTGAGACCCTGTCAAAAAAAGAAGCCACGCACAAAGTACCATGTATTATGTACATTTGTATGACATGTCCAGAATAAGCAAATCCACAGAGACAAAAAGCAGATTCATGGTTGACTGGGGTTGAGGAAGGGAGGAATGGGGAGCAACTGCTAATGGATTTATTTTTGGGGTGATAAAAGTGTTCTATAAGTAAATTGTATTGATGGTTACATAACTTGGTGAATATACTAAAACCACCTAATTGTACATTTTTAAAAGAATGAATTTTATGATATGTGAGTATCTCAATTTAAAATAATTCTTTAAAAAAGAACAAAAAAGGATTATAAGCTGGGAGCCAACCTGCCTGGGTTCAAATTCTAGCTGTACCACTGTGGTGGTTATGAGTCCTGGGCAACTCCCCAACTGCTCCTCTAGAAAAACAGAGATAATGGTCAACATGCTTCTTAGTGCTGTTGTAACACTGAATGACAAAATGTTTGAGAAGGTTCTTTAGGACAACACAGAGAAAGCTGTCAACAGCCAAGTGTGGAGGCTCACACCTGTAATCCCAGCTCTCTTGGAGGCTGAAGTGGAAGGATTGCTTAAACCCAGAAATGTGAGGCTGCAGTGAGACATGATTGCACCACTGCACTCCAGCCTGGGCAACAGAGCAAGACCCTGTCTCAGAAAAAGAAAGAAAGAAAGAAACCATCAATACGTATTAGCAATTGTCAGGGCCAATGGGGTTGGGTAGGGCAGGATGCTGGTCAAAATGATTGGGCAGACAGGCCGGGAAGGCCATATTAATACAAATCTATCCTCCATTAAAGGGATATTTTTCATCAGATCAAACTCAGATTTGGTGGCCTTGGCTGTTATTGTTATGGGGCAGATTAAAGGAAAATTCTACCTTTGCTAGACCAGTGGGGGTGGGGGTGGGGTGGCAGCAGAGCAGGTGCCCGGGAGTTCTGAGCAGCTCTCCAGGGCTAGAGAACTGTGGGCTTCAGGGCAGACCACAGTGGAACTGGGCCTGCAAAGGTGACTCTGCCATCTCTGTCCCCAGTTGTGGTGCTTGGATGCACTTGGCAGTGCTAGCGGGCTTGGAGATGACCACCCTGCTGAGCCGTGCCTGGGCTGAGGGCCTGATGGATGGGAGATTGGTCTTCCTGCCCTATGACACGCTGCTCTTCTCCCTGCCTTACTGCAACCACTCCTACCTGTCTCTCAGCACTGGTGGGCCCTCGTGGGAGGCCTATGATGTAATGCTCACCCTTCAGCCTAGAGTCTGGCCCCATAGACAAGGCCTTTGCTGCTGCCTGGCCCGATGGAGAGGCAGCTGCCCACCTGGGGCCAGAGCAGGTGGGTATGCTTCAAGTGCAGACCCCCGTATGCCTTGAGTGTGGGCCCAGGAGCAGGGGTGCATGGGCTCAGGCCCATCTCCACCATGGGCACATGGCCTCTTTTGGACAAAGCATCTCTCTGCCTAGTCCCTGGGTGTGGTCAATCTCTTTCTCCTTCTTGTGTACGTATATGTATATGTATATGTATATGGCTTTTACCATGAGGTGGCTTATGTATGTATATGTGTATGTCTGCAGTAGTCCCCCTTATCCAATGGGACATGTTCCCAGACCCCCAACGGATGCCTGATGCCGTGGATGGTACCAAACTCTATATATGCTGTGTTTCCTATACCCACATACCTATAATAAAGTCTAATTTATAAATTAGGCATGGTAAGACATTAACAACAATAACTAAATAATAAAATAGAACAATTATAACAATATACTGTAATACAAGTTAGTGGATGTTGTCTTTCTGCCTCTTTCAAAATATCTTAGTATTTTGAGACCCTGATTGACTGTGGGTAGCTGAAACCACGGAAAGGGAAATTGCAGATAAGGGGGGACTCCCGCACGTCTCTGTCTGTCTCTGTTCTTCCCCGTATCACTCACCTTTTTGTCCTGCCTTGTTCAGTGCTCCTCTGTATCTCTTCTGCTTCTATTTATCTATCTCCAGCCCTCTCAGTCCCTGAAATTCTCATTTCTGGCCCAGCTGCTCTTTCTCTTGCCCGCATTTCTCCTCTCCTGGCTCTGCATCTCTCTAGCAAATGACAGAGATCAGAACGGGAAAGTGTGGGGAGCGCAGGAGAGTGGGAGAGAGGGAGGATTTTCTCTAGTCATTGCTGTGAATCTGAAGTGTTATGGTGGAGGACACAGCTGCTGGCCTGGCTTGGCTTACAGGACTCAGTGAACTTGGGTCTTCTGGGGATGCCCACTTCTTGGTGTTAAGAAGACTGTAGTGCCTGGAGGTGGTGACAGGGATGTGGGTGCTGATGGTGGCCATTCAGGCAGTCATCCATCTGACGGATGTGGACTGAGTCCCTCTCATGTGCCATTACGTCTGGTGTCAGGAAGATAGTGGCAAACAAGACAGACCTGGCCTTTAAAGAGTTTCTATTCTGTCAGGGGGAGACAGCAGGCAATAACCAAATAACCAGATAACTAAATTCACGTAGTGATAATGCCACCGAGAAAACAGAACAGGATACAGTGATAGAGGAGCGGGATGGAGTAGTGGCCAACAAGAGCTAGATGGGCAGGGAAGCGCACTTGAGGGGTGGCACTTGAGCTGAGCTCCAAATGGTAAGGAAGCAGCTAGATGAGGATCTGGATGAAGAGCAACCAGTCAGGGGAAGCAGCAAGTGCAAAGGGCCTGAGGCAGAGCGAGCTCCAGTTGATGGAGGAAAAGGAAGGAGGGAGTGTGGAGTGGCTGAGGTGTCATGGGTGATGAGACAAGAATTTGAGATGAGCTTGGGGCCTGAGCAGGTGAGGCTTTATGGGCCACAAGGAGTCTGAACTTATTGTAAGTAAAATGGGACTTGTCAAGGCCCTGGCTGCCTCCTGAGAAGATCCGTTTGAGACTTGAGGAAGAAGCCCACGACCCTGGACGTGCTCCACACCCTGAACTTCAGGCTCCCATCTGTACAGTGAGGGGGTTGGCCAGAACGACTCCCAGGGGCCCTCCAGCTTTGAAAACAATTCTCCCTGGGGTCTACATTCCTCTGCGTCCCTGAATCCAGACCATCCCTGAGTCTCAGGCGTATCTGGAGGCGGGCAGCCTTCCACCCCCAGCCCTCTCTGGCTGCTGCATGAGGACTCTTGGCAACTTGGGAATGGTGCAACCGGGGACCAGCAGATGCATCAGGCCCAGGGGTTCCAGACCTGAGCCCGAGGCAGAGGGGCTGCATGGAGACAATGTTCAGTGCCCTCCCGGCCCGGCTGGGACTGACAGGGAGACAGAAATGGAAACGGGGAGAGGAAAGGTGACATCTCTGAGTCAGAGGCCAGACTGATGCTGGGAGGGGCGATGGCATCACTCCCACTGCCCTGCCCCCTCTCTCGCCTCCAGATTGGGCATCCAGCAGCTGCAGCTGGTGTGGGCGCCACCAGATCCTGCTGACAGCCCAGGAGCTCACCTTCATCCATTCGCCCCTGAACAGATGGGTGGGTAGGGCCGGGGCTGAGTTGAGCGGACAGTAGACAGAGGCCCAGTGTGCGCTCCTGATCACACCTGCTCCCTCCAGAGGCTGCATGTGAATGATGAATGGGGAATTGTGGCAGATGGTGGGAGCCTGAGATCAGTGGCCCGGGGATCAGCAAAGAGTCTGCCAGCCCCCAGGAACCCACCAGTGTGGCCGTGTACCAAGCGAGGGCCTCTGCCACCCCCATGCCCAGGCCTAGGCAGTCAGTTTGGGAGAAGCCGAGGGAGCCTCTGTATGGCCTACTTCTGTTACAGACTGAGAAACTGAGGCCCGGATAGGAGCAGTGCCTTTCCTGGGTCACTTGGCAAACTGGCAGCAGGGCTAGGAGTGGGAAGTAGGACCCCAACTCCTGGCCCAGCATGGTTCATGACCTGACCTGAAGGAACAACCAGGTCCCAGGCACTTGGCCCTTGGTGCTGCCGATGCGGTTCACCCCAGGGCCTCTCTTAGGGACCAAGGCCAGCCTAGTTCACCCTCCTGTCTGCTTAGGTAAGGTGAGATCCTGGGTCTCCCAGGCCCTGATGTGTGGGGGGCAGCACCCAACCCGGGATAGCCTCAGGCAGAGCCCCCGGGGTCGCCAGCTGGCAGGGAGGCTGGGCGGTCAAAGGTGAGCTCAGCGAGATCTCAGGATGCTGGGGATGCCGCCATTTCTCAGGTGCTGTCGTTCTGAAGTTCAACAATTCATGGATGCTACAATTCACCGACACCAAGACTCTCACGGTAGCTGAGCCAGGCTAGGTGTTTCTACAGAGGCGACATGAGCTGCTTGCTCTTTCTTCTCTACCTGTCCCCTGAGGGAATTCCATCTTTTTTTCTTTTCTGCTGCAAGGAGGCTTTCATGGTGTACAAAGAGTGTTTTGTCTGCTTCTCTGAGTTGGCTGACGGGCTGTAGGCGAGGCTGAGAAGGCAAAACCCATCAGTGATGGAAGAGAGAAGGCCAGGGTTATAGCTAGCTTTGGGCCAGGCCAAGGCAAGGGTAGAGCCCCCATCTGAGACCCCTCCTCTCCCACCGGCCCTTCTCTCCTCCCCATGAATCCCTGGGTCACAGAGCCCCCCACCCAAGCAGTTCACAGGGCTAGGGGTGTCATGAGGGCCTGAGGCCTGCAGGGCAAAGCTGATCTGTAGACCAGGGGCCAGCATACTTGACACACACCATCTCAGTAAGCCCCTGAGATGTGGGTGGGCGCTATCATCCTCACTTTACAGATTTGGAACCTGCAGCTGAGAGAACTGAAGTCACCCACTCCAGGTCACAGAGCTGGAAAGTGATGGTGTCAGGACTGGAACTGGAATCCTTCAGCCAAAGCCCGGCTCCCGGCTCTGCCTGGGTTATAGCAAATGTTTCCACTTACCAGGCTGTGCCTGGCTCAGAACACACAGAAGGAATGCATTGATGGGGAAGAAACTGAGATGAGAGAGGTAGAGGGGTTTTCCTGAGGTCCCACAGCTGAGGAGCAGCAACAGCTAACCTCTTGCTCTTCCTTGAATAGGGAGACTGGGTGTGGCTGAAGAAGTGTGAAGTGGGCTAAGACCTGGAACTGCGCCTGAGCTGCCTCAGCCTCCTGAGGAAGGCAGGGCTGTAGAGGGCACAGAGGGTGGGTGGGGAGCAACGCTGCTCAGGAGACCCTTACTGGTCCAGATTGGTCTCAAAGAGGAAGTTATTCTTGCCATCATGATCCTGCCCATTGCCAGTGCCTCAATCACAGTAATTCACTATTGCTGTCACTGTCCCATGCCAGCATCCTTAAAGCCACATCACCACCCCATAACCCACAGTCCCCATAACCACCAGGGCACAGTGCCCTCCATCAATGCCCTCGCATGACAACTCATCATGAAGGGACCTCATCCTGCAGCCCCCTCCCTCCACCCATCATTTCTTTTATTTGCTGTTTACTGAGCATAAATTATGTGCCAGGCACTTATGTGCAGTGTTCTGGGCTTTGGGGATACAGAGTGGAGAAGAGAGACAAAGTCCCCTCCCTCAGGGAGATCCTAAGCACCTGTCATCACTAACCACATAAGCATTTTCACCCCCAAGATCGTCACCATCCTGAGAGGCACTGAGGGACAGAGACAGAGCATGAGACTTGAGTCAGGAAGATCCAGGTGAAATCTTGCCTCCACAGAACTCTTAGCTTCCCTGTAAAATGGAGCTAGTGATAGTCACCTTCTGGGGGATTATGATTGCAGAGAACACATGAAATAACCTAGAACTCTTCCTGGCAACACATGAAATAACCTAGAACTCTTCCATGCTTTCGATACATGGGGAATTTTATTGATATCTCCAGTATCACCACAGTCTGAAATAAAGTTCAGAAGGATTAAGACACTGGAAGTTAAGTTAGGCATTTCCCAGTGGGCATCTTGCAATGTATGTGAGTAGATTTTTTTTTTTTTTTTTTTGAGACAGGATCTTGCTCATTCGCCCAGGCTGGGGTGCAGTGGCTGGATCTCAGCTCACTACAACCTCCAGCTCCCAGTCTCAAGCAATCCTCCCACCTCAGCCTCCCAAGTAACTGGGATTATGGGTGTGCACCACCATGCCCAGCTAATTTTTATATTTTTAGTAGAGACAGGGTTTCACCATGTTTGCCAGGCTGGTCTCGAACTCCTGGCTTCAAGGGATCTGCCATTCATCTACCTATTGACTCATTCACCCATTCACCACCCACTCACCAACCACTCATCCACTCACCCATCCATCCATCCACCCATTCATCCACCCACCCATCCACCCATCCATCTATCCACCCACTCACCAACCATGCAACCACCTATCCACAAACCACCCATCCACCTACCCAACAACTCACCGACCCACCAACCGCCCATCCACCTACTGACCAATCACCCACCAACCCATCCATCCACCCAGCCACCCACCCATTCACTCATCCATCCACCCACCCACCCATCTACCCAGCAGCCCACCAGGTACCCATTCACCCAACCATTCACCCATCACCCATCCACCCATCAACTACCCACCCACCCATCTACCTGCCTACCCACCAGCTACCCACCCACCCATCCACCCACCCATCCACCCACCCATCCATCCATCTATCCATCCACCACCCACCACCATCTATCCATGCATACATTCATCCATCCATCCTCCATCCATCCCTCACCACCCACCTGTTCATCCATCTGTCTGTCCATCTATCCATTCATTCAACATTTCTGATGCCTCTCCATGCTTAGCCTTGTGTTTGGTGCTAAGTGCAGGTGGCCTAGATGTGGATTGCACCTGGTCCAGCCCTCGAAGGCCCCCTGGGAGCTGCTAAGGTGCCCATTTCCCTGACAGATGTGGGAGCTGCAGTGTGAGAACGTCACCACTGGGCTTTTTCGTGACCCCTGGGGTCAGTGCTCTGGTTCTGGAGAACCTGCTGCGGAACGAGGCTCTGCACCTAGACTGGACCTTCAAGGCCTCCCTGCTGCTGGATTTGATCTGCGTGAGATCCCTCCCTGGGCCTGGCACTGCAGGCAAGTGGGGAGGACAGGGAGATAGGAGATGCTCGGATTTCCCACAGCTGGGCTCTTTCAGCTTTGTCTAACCCAGGGATGTCCAAACAGCATGGCCACAGGTAAACGGGGAGGCAGGAAGGCTTTCTGGGGCCTCTGGGAATTCCGAGAGAACCAGGTTTCCTCTCTTTCGTTACAGATCCAATGGACCCCCATTATGTCCATCTTAGGGCATGAGGTATCTGCACCACTGATGTTTCCCTCCTGGCCGCCTCAAGTCCCAAAACTGTGTGGTGGACAGACACTTTGTGCTCAAGGTCACTGACCATGGTTATGCAGAGCCCCTGGACACTCAGCAGGCTCCCCAACCCTGGCCAGCCCCCGAATGTCAGCTCAGCGCAGGGGGCTGCCAGTAGGTTTTGGGGCCTCTGTTTAACCAGGTGTTTGTAAGGTCGGGGGAGAGGGCAATCTCCAGTCCTCTGGCACTGGTGACCTTGAGTTGATCACTTCTCCTCTCTGAGCAAGCTATAGGCTCTTTACCTGTGAATTGGGGAGAATAGATATGCCCGGCCTGGCTTGGATGGTCAGTAGGTGATGGTGGCGTGACCCTGCCTTATGATTGCAGAGCTGCTATGGGCAGCTCCTGAGCTGCTGCCGAGGCCTGGGTGCCCTGGGTGGGGCACCCTCACAGGGGACATCTTCAGCACTGCCATCATCCTGCAGGAGGTGCTGCCTCGGGACCCACCCTACTGCTCCTCGGGATTCCCAGTGGAAGGTAGGCACCCTCCTCCCCCTCCTTGGCTGTCCTTGGCTAGAGTCTCTGACTAGTGGGAAGCTCTATGGCAATCAGGAAATCTGGGCCTGAAAATAACCACATAGACACGCACGCCTAAAGTCTGACCATGAGAACTTGACTTAAGCTGGGCTGCCTTCAGCAACTCTGCCAGAATAGCAGCTGACCCACTCCAGGGGCTAAGGACGTTGCGCTCTGGGTGAAAATTTCCATCCCGCCTTCCTCCCCAGTGTCACCGCCATGCCTGTAGGTGCTCATGCCCCGACTGCACCTCCCCTCCATGCCCAGCACAGGCTACACAGAGCTCAGCCCTACTCCAGCTGTGTCACTGTCTTACTCTGTGACTTTACGCAAACCGCTTACCCTCTCTGAGCCTCAATGTTCTCATCTATAAATGGGAATCCAATAACAAATGTGCCAGATCCCCAGTCCCGTGACCAATGTGGCCAGGCTGCTCAATACCAGGGGGCTTCGTTACCTGCCCAGGCAGGCTCCTTCAGAGCTTCTCTGTCCTCACACTTCTGGCTCCCCAGGATAACCACTGGCTGCTTCCCCATCATCACCTGGCCTGTACACACTTTATCTCTTCCAGCCCCAGGGCCAGGGCCCAACTCCAGAAATGTTTCCTCCCCTCTGTGCTCTCTGTCCGGGCTCCCTGGACCCCAGACTGCTCTTTCTGTCATCCTCCTGCTGCCTCTTCCCAGTCCCAGGGACCTGGTACTCCACAGACACCTGGGCACCTTGGCCCACAGTGCAGACCAGTACAGAGCTGAGCCCACCATCAGATCCTACCCCAATGGATAATCTTTAACTCACAGGAGGCCTAGCCCCACTGCCTTTCTCCACCACAGCACTGCCCCATGAATAATGAGCATTCCAGGCCCAAATTTATGAGGTGGAGGAGTGGGAAGAAGGGGGGCTTTGTCAGACCATTTGTTCAACACTCCTTGGCTGCCTCCCCATCCTCTGCCTCTGAGGAGGGAAGGGCTGGCCAGATGGGATCTGCAAACCATGCCACCAGTGCAAGGCACTCCAGGCCTCGCTCCGTCCAGCTTTGGGTGCAGGGACCCAGGCCTGGAATGCTCTGGCCACCCGTGAGGAGGCTGTCAGCCTAGGGCCCACTGCTTCCTGCTGTGTGCTTTCCTTGGCCTCAGGGAGTACAGGGCTCAAGCCACAGGCTCCAGGGAACACCAACCTAAGCCCAGCTCCACACCAACTTGCCTCATGACCTTGAGTAAATCCCTTTTAGGCTCCAAGCCTCAGTCTTCTCATCTGTAAAATGGGAACCATGATGTCTGCCTTCCAGAACAACTGTGAGGATTCAGTGAAATGCTGTAAACAAAGCGCCTGGCATGCAGTGGGAGCTCAATAAATCTCTGTGAGGTGATGTTAGGAGTGTGCTAAGGGGGGTCCCAGGTTCCCTCCTGACTCTAACATCTCTTTAGGATCCTGTGGATGGGGGGGTCACTTTGCAGTTCCCAAGGCACTTTCATGTGCATGATACCATTTGACAACCCTGGGAGGTAGCTAATCGCCCCTTTTTTAGAGTTAAGTGAGACTCAGAGAGGAGAAGGGATTTCTCAGAGGGGAAGCTGTGGACCTGGGATTGGGTGGACATCCCTGGTCCAAGCTCAGTGTTCTAAAATCTCTTGGAGTCATCTGTGGGGCACCCTCTTAGAGCCCAGCCAGGTCCGGCCAGAGCTGGACGCTCAGACTCCTCCCTCAGCCCTCAGCACTGTCCGTCAATCATGGCTATGTCTGGGCTGCGGACAGCATGCCTGGTGCAGTGTGGGGAGCATGAGACCTGGCCTGGCCTGGGGCAGGGGTTCCCAGCATGTTCACATATGAAGACTCCATTTTAATGTCAAAAATGATTAGAGCCTCACATGCTACTATTTGACTTCTAATATCCACTAACTGAGAACATACCCAGTGATAAAATCTGCTGTGAAATCAGCAACACTTTGAAATGGGTTTGTATTGTATTCATTACAGTACCATCTGCATACCTTTGAAAAACAGCAGTACATGTGTGCATGTGGTGTATGGTTGGTTCCATCAGCACACAGTCCTTTGTAAGCACATACGACTTCCCAGATCCCACACTCTGGGGCCCTCAGGGTCTAACGCCTGTAGGCTGGGAACCTCTGGGCAGAGGAGATCGTGCAGGCTGGGTGCAAACCAGGCCCAGGTCTAGTGTCTGCTTTTGACTGGCCCTATGTAGGTACCTGATTTCACTCCCAGGAGCCTCAGTTTCCCTGTCTGTAGAATGGGATGGTGACTCCTGCACTATCCCCAACAAGGCCAAAAAGGGATGGGAAGGGGACTGAAACCCAGAAAGAAACTTCTCCTCTCTGGCTCCAAGGGCTCCCACCTCCCTCACTCACGAGAGGAGGATCCCAGCCATCCTCGGAGGAGATTAACCCATTCTGCTTTGCGACAACCCTTGCAAGTACATAATGTGGTTGTGCCCGTCTTCCAGGTGAGGAAGCTGAGGCTCAGAGAGGTGATGCGCCTTGTGTGGACCGTAAATGGGTCATCTGAAGTCCCGCTCTGATCTGTGGACTCCAGAGCCTGAGCTCGGTGTCAGCCCCTCTTCCTCCCAGCCTACTTTAGAATCGCTCGGCTCCCCATGGCTCTCCAGCAGCCCCCCGAGGCAGGGGTTATTTCCATCAGTTGTTAGGTGGGGAAATTGAGGCTCAGAGTCACAGCAGAACTAGAACACTGACTTAGCCTGGTGTGGAGACAGGATGACGCGTGGCCAGGTTTTCTTGAGTACAGAATCATAATGATGATGATAATGATAAGCAGGCAGTGTCGTTCACACCTGTGGGGAACCGGCACGCCAGTATCTGAGTGGCAGGGCTGCAGGAAAAAGCTGCACTGTCAAGGTTTCAAGATCATTGGTGGTCGTCGTTGGCAACAGAGTAGCGGCAGTTGTTGTGGGGCCTGAGTGTGGGGGAGAGTCTGCCAGGTGCCGGGCACCTAACATCCATCATCTTCTACCTCAGCACTCTTCTCAGGAAGGCAGTTTATTCAAGACCAGCCTGACTAACATGGAAAACCCCGTCTTTACTAAAAATACAAAATTAGTTGGGCATGGTGGCGCATGCCTGGAGGCTAAGGCAGGAGAATCCCTTGAATCTGGGAGGCGGAGGTTGCTGTGAGCCGAGATCACGCCATTGCACTCTAGCCTGGACAACAAGAGCAAAACCCCGTCTCAAAAAAAAAAAAAACAAAAAAAACAGAAAAGAAAAGAAAAAAGAAGGCAGTTTATTATGCTCATTTCACAGATGGGGAGACTGAGGCTCAGAGAGATCATTGTCTTCTCCACCATCCCCTAGTATTGTGATGGCAGATACAGAATTCAAAATCAGCTCGCAGTTCTCCTGGCTCCCAGTCTGAGACCCTTTCCTTGGCCACACCCAGGGTAGACCCAGGAGAGCAGCAATGCTGCGTCCACTGGCCAGCCATACCCTGGACACAGGAGCTGAGGAATATCCTCAGGCCCAGAACCTGGCACTGCTGTAAGCCTACCCTGCCCACACTCTCAGGATCTGAGGCCAGGCTCCTTTCATGACCCTTCCCAGAACCCCAGGCCCACCCACATGGTGTTTGTTGCAGAAATCATCAGGAGGGTGGCATCTCCCCCTCCTCTGTGCTGGCCGCTGGTGACCCCTGATCACAGGCCACATGAGTGCTGAAGCAGTGCTGGGAGGAGCTCCAGAGGACAGACCTAGCGTGGACCAGATCTACAGCCAGGTGAGTGCTCCCCAGAGGAGTGGGTGCTCACAAAAAATGGCACATTTGTTCAGCTCACTTAGCCTACTGCAAGCCCTGTGCTTTCCCTGGGACCTGGAAAGTCATGCAGTAAGAGGCAACTGCCCAGCGCTGTCACCCCTGAGGTCTGCCCTTTAAGGAGAGCTTTCTCAGGACCACCGGTTCCAGGGACATTTATCCCCTGCCTTCCTGAGTGTCAAGCCCCATGCTAAGGGCCATGCTTCCCTCCTTTCATCCTCGCCACAGCCCTCTGAAGAAACAGTGTTAGTTTCTTGGCTTCATGGGAGAGAAATGAGGCCTGGAGAGGCGGGGGCACTTGCCCAAGGTAACTGAGTGAGTGAAAGGTGGGGCTGGAGTCCAACCCAGGTCTGTCTGCAGAGCTGTGCCAGCAACCCCACCTTGTACCAGGCCTCCTGGCACCAGAGGAGAGAGGCCATTGTGGCTGTGGAGACAGTACTACTTCCTGAGTCAGTGAGGGGAAAATGTGAGGGGCCCTGGGGCACCCCTAGGACTGCCTTGGGGATTTCAGTGGGAGGGGCAAGGCAAGTCTGTGCAAGCTGGCAGGGCAGCAGTGGAATGTGTGAGTGAGCAGTGGATTGAACATGACCAAGCTGGCTGATGGCTTCCATGGGGCCAACCCATCAGACCCAAGGGGACTGTGCCTCCTCTCCCCATCCTCCCCTCCCCATCCTCCACTCCCCAGCTGTGGTGGAAAGTTGCCAAGGAGCAGTTTAGGGAGCAATAAAGGGGTTAGGACAGGTGACGAGAGGGAGAGAGGCAGCAAGGCAGTCCAAGGAGACGCACACAGGTGTCCTTTGAGAAGCCCTGCCCATCACCTCTCTTTCCACACCCCCTCCACACTTAGCTCTGGCATCAGGGGTGGTGCCCCCCTCCACAGATGAGAAATCTGGAGCTCACAGTAAATGACCTCTAAGCAGTCACCATAATGGTGGGTAGCAGCACTAGGATGAGCAACCAGTTTATAAAGCACCAGCCTGGGATCTTTCCAGGGGATCAGAGGTTGCCATGGCCCCCTGTGAGGTGGGGAAGAGCTCTTGCCCTGAGTGAGGGGCGACTGTGGGATTCTTGCCCAAGATTCCTGCCCAAGGCCCAACAGCAAACAAGGCTGAGATGGGCACACATGAATTCAGCCTGAAGAAGGGGGAAATGGCATCATACTGTGGGGAGGTGAGGGGTCAGATGCCTGGATTCACATCTATGTGAGAATCCAGTGGATATCATCCCACTTACCCACTGTTTGACCTTGGACAAGTTAATGTTCCTATTGGGCCTCAGCCTCCCTGTATGTTTCCTGGAAAGATAACTAACCCTGGCCTAACTCTCCAGATAGGTGTGACCATCCAGTGAGATAACTAATTTTTTTAAAATGTAGCTCTTTGAGAAGGAGAGAGTGAGTAAGGTACAAGAGAAAGAACACTGACATTAAAGCCAAAAGGCCTGGGTTTAGGGAGGCAGAGGTTGTGGTGAACTGAGATCATGCCATTGCACTCCAGCCTGGGCAACAAGAGTGAAACTCTGACAAAAAAAAAAAAAAAAAGCTTAGGTTTATATTCATTTCACATTGTTCTAGGAGTAGTAGCCAATGCAATTAGACAAGAAAATTAATATTGCAAAGGAAGAAGAAATATGTATAATTCCAAATGATAAAATAATTCAGTGGGGAGGGCTGGTGATAAAATTAATATAAAAGACTTTAGTTTGAAACTCAGATCCACCACTGTGTGCTCCTTGGCAAGTTATTCCACCTCTCAGATCCTTTGTCTCTTCATTTATGAAATGATGACCTTCCACGCAGAGGTGACCTTGGAGTTGGCTTCAGGTCCTTGTTGGTGTCTCAGGGTCAGCAGCTGTCATGCCCACCCCGTAAAGCTTGTGCCTCTGCTTTTCTTGGACAATACAAAATAGGTGCACTTCAGGGCTGCTGCCACTCCCTACCTTGCAGACATTTGGTTGAGAGACGTGGCATTAATGGAGATTGGATGTGCATACCTACACACACACAACACACACACACAGAGCATGCACACACACTCACAAGTTCAAGATGCTGGATTTTGACAAGCATGAACCCCTTCACTTTGACCATCACTGATTTGCTTCTCCTACTGACTGCACTCTGGGAAGGTGCAAGCAACCTTTGCTTGGCACTAGGAATAGTTGTATTTCTTTTGAGCAATTAGTTTAATGTTCCCTTGTCTTATGGACCCCATGGATCGTGTAATCTATATTTCCCTCTTTGTTTTGTTACTAGGAAGTTCATATCCAAAATAGTGACCAAATTCTAGCATGGATTTGGCATACAGATTTCAGTCCTAGATTTGCCTTTTTTTTTTTTTTAAAAAAGCCTTTACTCTCCTTTGGTCCTAATATCCGCATATGTTTATTCTTTTATTGTGTGGTACTGCTTTTATTCTTCTTCATCCTTAAAATTTTGGAGGAACAAAGTAGAAATAGAGATAGATTATACATATAAATAATCTACATATATTCTTTCTATCTATCCACCCATCCATCCACCTACCCTTCCATCTGTCCATCCATCCATCTATCCATCCATCCATCCATCCATCCATCCATCCATCCGTCCATCTGTCCGTCCATCCATCTGTTTGTCTATTATCTATCTATCTATCTATCTGTCTGTCTGTCTGTCTGTCTGTCTATCTTTGAGAAGAATAAAGAATCTCACAGTGTTGTTGTGAGACCCAGTGCAAGAGGGTTGTGTTTGTTAACCATAATGCTGTGCTGGGTACAGGCTCCTTTGCAAAGTCCTCTTGCTGCCTGCCCACCCTACACAAAATTAACCCATTAATCTGACACAAAGCTGACTGCACTTTTCCCTTGTCAGAGCCACCGTCCCCCTGTCATTTACATATCTGTTCCCCACAACAATGCAGCTCCTTCAAGCGGGGATTCTGTTTGGTGCATTTCCGTGGCCCTAGACTCCCAGCTGAAGACCAGGTGTGCTGACTTTCATGTCATTTTGGCATTTTTGTTCCATCTTCAGTTCAAAAGCATCAACCAAGGCAAGAAGACCAGTTTTGCTGACTCCATGCTGCGGTTGCTGGAGAAATATTCCCAGAACCTGGAGGACCTGATCCAGGAGCAGACTGAGGAACTGGAGCTGAAGAGAGAGAAGACAGAAAGGCTGCTCTGTCAGGTGATTCCCCTGTGAGTGGCCCCTGGACTTGAGTGTACCTCTAGCCTCAGCTCTAAGCCCAGGGCCTGGAATATAGTAGGTGCTCAGCAGATCTGGATTCCATGAATTTATTCAATTCACTCATCCATGTTTATTTATCTAACATTCTTCTTATGCAGCACATTACTTTGTTTAGTTAGTTTTGTTTATTATTATTATTTTAGATACAGGGTCTCACTATGTTGCCCAGGCTGGCCTCAAACTCCTGGCCTTAAGTGTTTCTCCTTCCTCAGCCTCCCAAAGTGCTGGGATTATAGGCATGAGCCACTGCACATGGCTTATACAACATATTTTTATAGAGCCCTCACCATATGCCAGGTACTCTGTCGGGCACGTGAATGGAATTTCTGCTCTCTCACATCCTTGGGAGCAAGGAACTAGGCACAATGCTTCCCCCACCCCAATATCACTTCACAGGAAGTCATGTCCAGACAGGGCAAGTATTCACTCCAGGGCAGTCAGCACACCAACGGACTTGTACCAGATCTGCTGATGCTCAACACAGTTTCCTCCCAAATATCCCTTCCTAGCCTCCAAACTGTCAAAAATAGGCCCTCATACCTTATGTGTCTGGCCCCTCCCATCCCTTCAGGTCTGTGGCCGACGTTCTGAAAATGGGGGTAACTGTGGAACCACAGGGGTAACTGTGGAACAGGTTACCATATACTTCAGTAATATTGTAGGTTTCACCATCATCTCAGCCCTGAGTGAACCTATTGAGGTGGTGGGTTTGCTCAACGATCCCTACATGCTGTTTGATGCTGTTCTGGGCAGCCATGACGTGTGTAAGGTGAGAATACCAGGAGGCTGGCATTCCATTCCTCCTTTTACTACTGTGTCTTGATGGTACTATTTATTTATGTGTTTGTATCAGCTAGCTATTGCTGTGTAATAAATACCCCCCCCAAAAACTCAATAGGGTAAAATGATAAGCATTTACTATTGTTCACAAGCCTATGGGGCCACCAGAAGGTTCTTCTGGACACACTCATGCATCTGTGGTCAGCTATGGGTGAGGTGGCAGCTCTGCTGATCTCAGTTGGGTTCTCTCATGTCTCTGGAGCCTTGGCCAAGAGAACTCAGTTCTGTTCCGCAGCCTCTCTTCCTCCAGCAGGCTAGTCCGGGATTGTCGACATGATATGGCAGGGTTCTGAGAGAGAGGACAGAAGTACACAAGGCTCTTGAGATCTAATCTGGGATCAGGCATATTACAATTTCTGATGTATTCTATTGGTCAAAATGAAAGACTAGTTCAGATTCAAGAGCTGAGGAAACAAAGTCTACCTCTTGATGGGAGAAGCTTCAGTCTCGTTGCAATGGGGTGAACATGGAGCGGGTGAAGGATGTGGGCCATTTTGTATTTAATAGACCACAGTGTTTACTTGTCCATTGTCTGTCTATTCATCCCTTTACAATCTTATCAGCAGGCTTTTCTGTGCCTGACCCTGTGCTGGGCATGAGCAGACAGATGACTCAGCTCCCATTCCTATGCTTAAGGAGCGCTCAGTCCTATAGGTAAAAGATGATGACCCGCAGTGAAAGTAATAATCCTGGGAGGCGGAGGAGGCTGAGAGGGCCCCAACCCAGCTAGGGGTAGATGTGTAAAGAGCAGGGAAGACTTTCTGGAAGAGGTGCTGTCTTCCCAGCATTGTCCCATCTGGGAGTGGCAGCCCCAGGCAGGCAATGGGTGAAAAATGTGCGAAAGCCTGAGGCTTCAGAGGGCCTGGTGAGTGTGGGGAAGCTGAATAAGCTGGGCTGACTGGGCATGAATGGGCCAGGAGTGGGGAGCTGGAGGCACTGGAGAGGACAACAGAGGCCTCAGCAGGGCCTTCAAGCCCCTCCCTGTGCACCTCTCAGTCCTGGGTTTGAGTCCCAGCCTGGCCACCAGCTTCTGTGTGGCTTTGGGCAAACAGCTTCCCCTCTCTGGGCCTCTGTTTCTTTGACTGTGAACAGGAATGGCGACCACAGTTCTGGGAGGGCTCACAGAGGATGGGAGGATCCTGGCCCCCATGCACAAGTGGATGTCAAGCACGGAGTGTGAAAGGGAGACACCTCCTGCCCACCACTTCTCCATTCTACCCGTGCTGTGGGGACCTTCCAACCCCAACACTGCCCCTTGTTCTGATCCAGGGGGTCTAGGGGCAGCTTCAGACATGGTGGGGAAGGTATGGAGGGAGGTCCCAGGAAACACCACGCCAAGGCTCTATTGGCCTTAGCCCTAATTTGTGACTCACCAGCCTGTCCAGCCACAGCCCTCCACAAAGGCAGGGACAGGGGAGGGCCAGGCCCCGAGGGCTGGAGCCAGATTGAAAAGGATGCCTTGGGAGGAATTTTTCGAGGACACGATGAACTCTGAGACGCCAGACAATCTGCTGATAGCATTATTTATAGTATCCCAACAACCATAAACGCCAACACTTATTGAGGGTTTAGTGTATACTGGATGCTAGTATTAAATGCTTTATATGTATTAGCCCATTTATTCAGCAAAACAATTTATGAGGTAGGGACTGGTACTGCCAATTTATATATGAAGAAAATGAGGCAACAGAGGCTAAGTGGCTTGTTTGTTAACATAATCTCAGTGGGATCTGAGGCCAAGATTTGAGCCAGGTTATGGTGGTCCAAAGGCCCTTGGTTGGGGAGGCTCACCATCCCCATGAGATAGACATCCTCAGGATAAAGCTGCGGGTTCATAGTGGTCCACAAGCCCTCCAGGAGCTGCCCCACATACCTCCCCAGTTGTGTCTCCACCTCTGCAGGCCTCTGGATCCTCACACATGTCTCGCTGTCTCTAGCCCCCAGGCCTTGGTACCTCTGTTTCTCCTCCTGGAGCAGTGCTCTCCCTCCTCTTCACCTAGCTCCTTTCTGGCCATGTGTCTGGTCTCATTAGCCTTCCCCCCATCCCAGACACAGTTAGGGGTGCCTGTTTGATGCTTGCATAACTCCCCCTACATTGCATTTTATGGTTCCACCCTGAATCACTTCCCAGTGGCTGGCAGTGTCCAGCACATCATAGATCCTCAGGAAATGTGTGTTGACAGAATGAGGAGGACACTGAGGCACAGAGAGGGAAGTGACCCGCCTGAGGTCACACAGCTGGCCAGCAGCAAAGCCAGAACAGGAACCTACGGCATCCACCACGGTGCTCCATCCACTGCACCATACTGACCGACACGCACCCACAGGACCTGCGCCACCGACACCCAAGGGTGCAGCTTCCCTCCTGTTCCCCATTCAGGACCTTAGATCCCCGCCCTGGCCCGAAGTTCCAAGGCGTTCCTGAGTTTCCCTCTTGCCTCCAGAGTCACCCTGGCCCCACAGCCCCAGGAAAAGATTCCTCATCTCATCTCGCTGAGCCCCACAGCTTTGATCTGCCCTGAGTCACCCTGGCCTCATCTCTTCCTCCGCTGCTAATCTTTCCTCACACATGTGTCCCCTGGCTCTGAATCATCCCTTCTGACTGCTCTGAACTCTGGCCAGGAGGTCTGCATCTTTCTGGCAGAATGAAATGAAATCAAACAAGGCCCACACAACCCTCCAGATGTGGGGAAAGAGGAGGCCCCTTCTTCATGATGTGCGAGCATCTCTCATCACTCATGTCATCCGCCTCGGTTTCCCCTTCATCCCCAACAGGATCTGGTTACTGCTCTTTAATCCGGTCTGGGTTGGGAGGCAGCCAGGCAATCATTTCCTGGTTTCGCAGGGGTCTGCGATTCCCTCCCGCGCTCGCTGAGTGTGCACTTTCATGGACATGACTCCAGAGCAGAGCCACTGGGGACTGTCGCGGAGGCAAGGCCTCAGCCCCACCTGTGGCTCAGCCAGGCGTAAGTCTTGCCCTGGCCCTACTGCCAAGCCACCCTGGGCATGTCACCTCTCTGAGCCTCAGTACTCCATTTATAAAACAGGGATGAAAGTGTCTCTGGTATAGGATTGCTCTGCAGATTAAGGAATGTGAGAGAAAGCGCCATGGTTCATTGAGTCATCACCTTACCCTTGGGCACCTGCCACATGCCAGATGCTGAGGCATCCCTGAAAGCACAGAGGGAAGGGACAGCATTAGTTAATCGCCTACAGAGGACTCACTTGGCTGGGGAAATTTCACAACTGATCTCATCTAACCCTTTCAGTGCCTGTCAGGGGTATGGATTACTATCCTTACTGTATAGATGAGGACGCAGGCACAGGGAGGGTAAATGACTCACTTGGGGTCACACAGCAAGTCAGTGGTGGGGTTAGAATTCACATCTGCGTTTGATAGTAGGGACCTTTTGCTTGCACCTCTCCCCTGGCTGTTTCTCCCATCTGTGAAGGGAACCACTGCCTCACTTTCAGCTGAGAGCCCACTATGATAGGCAACTTTGAGTACATCACCTTTACGAGTCCCTGGAGAACATGCCTGTGCCTGGTCATCTTTCTGTCTCTAGGGTTAAGGAGTGAATGTTAATCACCCTGCACGTTCCCTTCCAGCTCAGGCATCAGGCAGGTCAGCAGCTTAGAGATCAGCTTTAGCAGATCAGAGAATGTGGTCTGGTTGTATGGCCACTGTGGGGCTTTCTACTCCTCTCCCCTAGTCTGGACTGTGGGGTCACACATCTGAGGCAGGGCTGGGTCCCCAGAGCTGGTGCACCCTCCCTGTGTCACAGCTGCACACCCAGCAGGCAGGGTGAGAGCAGAACCTCCTCAAAGAGAGAGAGAAAGGGCCCAAGCTATGTGCAGCAAGAGGCAGCATAGTGCACAGACTCTGGAACTGGACTGACCAAGTTCAAACCCAGGCACTGGCTGCAAGTGACCTTGGCAAGGGACTTCATGCCTCTGACCCAGTTTTCACCTGCAAAACAGCCTTAGTAATGGTACCCATATCCCAGAATTCTTGTGACCATCCAATGCGTTCATAATTGTAAAGGCTTTGGGACTGTGTCTGGCACATAGTAAGCACCATATGAGTGTTTAAGAGGCACTTAGTCCTTTTTCCAGTCTCGCCTATCAAGTAAGGCATTTCTCCTCCTGCAATGAGGAAGAAGAGAGAGCAGGGAAAGCCAGGAGTCTCTCATGATTTTCCCTCCTGGGGAGTGGAGTGGAAAATCTCTTTTGTGGAAAGGTGCACAGCTTGGGGCAGCCCTGCCATCACCCCTGCCACTCTTACCACCAGTCCATGAATGCTGGTAGACCACAGGGCGGGAGGCAGACCACAGCCCAGAGGAGGGAGACAGCTTTCTTGCTGGGGACTGGTAAGATTCTGTGCCCTAGATGGCGTGTGAGCGGGACCGATGGAGGGGTGGGGTTTCAGCAGATAGAGACTGGGGAGAGTTTTTCAGGCAGAGGGATCTGGTGCTCCAGGCCTCGAGGTGAGCAAGCACTGGGTGTCTCTTGAAATGGTAGAAAAGATTTCTGTCTGGCTGAAGCGTGGGGAACCAGAAGCAACTGTTAGAAAACGTCAGGCAATCATGCAGAGGAAGGAGGCCCTTGATAGCTAGGCCAGGGGGCCTGAATTTTAAGCCACCGACCATAGGGAGCAAACTGAAGTGCATATCAGAGCGGAATGTGATGTAATTAGGGCAGATCACCTTTTGGTAGTGAGGTGGAGGATAGCCGGGGTGAGGGAGAGATCACAGGGCCGTGTGGGCGTTGGTAGTGGGGCACAGTCCACACTTGCGAGTCGCGTGAGAAATTTTTTGAATTACAGCGCCCCCTATGGGCGGTGGTGCATCACTATTCTTGTGCGCCAGATGCTAAGTGCAGAAGTGCCTGGCAGGGGAGGCTCTGCTGCCCAGGACTGGTGAAGCCAACACGTGCCTGCTTTAGGAGGAACAGTGCAGGAGCCGGGAAAGACTCAGAGGGTAGAGTTGCTGTCTTCACCCTGGCAGGCTTGGCCTGTGGCAGGGGAGAAGGCTATGCTTCTTTCACATCTGTGTTCCGAGCACCTGAAACAGGGCCTTAGGAACAGAAGAATGTGCTTAGGAAAGGTATACGCGTACAGTTCAGGGGGTGGAGCTGGAACCAACTGGTGAAAGGCAGGTTTTAACTCAAGTTTTGAAAATCAGAGTTACAGCCGGGGGCAGTGGCTCACACCTGTAATTCCAGGACTTTGGGAGGCTGAGTCAGGCAGATCACCTGAGGTCAGGAGTTCAAGACCAACCTGGCCAACATAGTGAAACCCCATCTGTACAAAAAATACAAAAATTAGCCAGGCATGGTGGCTGACGCCTGTAGTCCCAGCTACTTTGGAGGCTGAGGCATGAGAATCACTTGAATCCAGGAGGAGGAGGTTGCAGTGAGCTGAGATTGTGCCACTGCACTCCAGCCTGAGCAACCTTGGTAAAAAAAAAAAAAAAAAAAAAAAAAAAAAAAAGAAAGAAAGAAAGAAAAAAAGAAAAAGAAAGAAAGAACAGAAAGAAAGAAGAAAAGGAAGAAAGAAGAAAGAAAAGAAAGAGAGAAAGAAAGAAAGAGAAAGAAAGAAAAGAAAAGAAAGGAAGGAAGGAAGGAAGGAAGGAAGGAAGGAAGGAAGGAAGGAAGGAAGGAAGGAAGGAAGGAAGGAGAAAATCAGAGTTGCCTAAAGAGAGAAGTGGCTACTGAAGAAGGAGAAACTTTCCTATCAAGGGATGTGAGTAAGCGAGAACAGCCACTGGGGTGGGGGAAATTGGGTGGGTGACCAGCAAAGCCCCTTCCAGTTAGGAGATTCCAAAACCGTAATGATGAGGAGGAGGACGACAGCAGACTCTGTGTATTCAGCATTGGTATGCCTGCTTCTGTAAATACTTCACTGCTAACATTCATTCCACATAAGAGGAAACTGAGGCTCAGCCAGGTGAAGTTGTCCAGGTAAATGGCAGAGCCAGGGCTTGAACCTACATTTGTCTCATTCCAAAACCTACATTCTTTCTAGTACACCTTTGGAAGGCCAGCAGGGTTTGGAAAATGGAAAGCGTCCTCTAAATATATACAGTCCTCTCCAAATTAATCCCTGATGTGCCACTATGGCCTTGAACAGATGGGGTACCCAGGTCTGCCACCAAGGAGCTCAGGGCCTGAGGCCAGAGATAATAAAAAGAGCCATTGTTGCCTGGAATACAGACAAAGGTGATCTGAAATGTACAGATCCAATCGTTGCTAAAGTGCCCGGAACTGGAGGCCTACCAAAGATGGCACTGCGGGCCAGAGACCCACGGGGCGGGTTGGGACTCCCAAGAAGCAGCCATGTGTAGCAGGATGTGCGGTGGCCAGGGAGGGTATGTTCTCATGCTGGAGTGTGAAGGCTGCTGTTTCTAGGTGGAGACCACTGGGGATGCCTACATGATGGTGTCGGGGCTGCCTCAGCACAATGGGAGTCAGCATGTCGCTGAAATCAACAACATGGCCCTGGATGTCCTCAGCTCTGTGGGTGACTTCTGGATGAGGCATGCACCCAACGTGCCCGTTTGCATGAGGGCTGGCCTGCATTCAGGTATGGGCTAGGGGCCTCCAGGGTGAGGCACCACATCCATCTCCCAGTCTTCCCTGGGGCGCTGGCTGGGACGCCTCCAGTGGCATGCTTCTGGATGTCTGAGATTCTCAAACTCTATGGTAAAAACATTCTATGTTTCTTTTTCCTTACATTATTTTAAGGTCCTAATTATGTTATAAATAAGAGAGTCAGGCCGGACATGGTGGCTCACGCCTGTAGTCTCAGCATTTTGGGAGGCCCAGGCATGGGGATCACAGGAGGTCGGGAGTTTGAGACCAGCCTGGCCAACATGGAGAAACCCTGTCTCTACTAAAAATCCAAAAATTAGCTGGGTGTGGTGGCTCACACCTGTAATCTCAGCTACTCGGGAGGCTGAGGCACGAGAATCGCTTGAATCCGGGAGGCGGAGGTTGCAGTGAGCCGAGATGGCGCCACTGCACTCCAACCTGGGTAACGGAGTAAGATTCTGTCTCCAAAAAAAAAAAAAAAAAAAAAAGAGAGAGAGAGAGAATGTGTGATGCTGATAGTCTGATGGAAGAGGCAGGACAGAAACCTTCTGTGGTCATGCAAACAACCAAATGTTTCCTGGGATGGGTCTGGGAGAGCCATCGGAGTCATGAATATACCCTTTCCATGTCCCTGCTCCTTCCACCATGGTTCCCCTCACCTGCAGGATAAAGTCCACTGGCACTGCCACCACCACCCCACCACCACCATAGCCTCTCCAACCCCATCTCCCACCACTCCCTGCATGGCCCTCCATCCACACTCAGCTATGTGCAATTTCACACACACGGGTTCCCTGCCTCTGTGCCTCTGCGCCTGCTGTTCCCTGCCCACTCATTCTCTCATCCTTCAAGACAGAGCACATGTATCCTCTTCTCCAGCAAGTCCCCTGGGCTGGATTAGGGGCCCTTTTTGGTGCTGGCACAGTCCTGGTGCTTCTTTCATCACAGCCTTGATTGCAGGTTACACATCTCTCCCCACCAGGCTGGGAGCTGCCCAAGAGCAGGGAGGAGCTCTGATCTATCTATGACCCCTCACCTCCAGCACAGAGCCTGGCACAAGCATCAGGTCCTCTCTGGATGTCGTTGGAGACTCCAGTTAGCTTAATCCTCACCTCACAACTGGAGCCCAGGATGTGCAGTGGGGAATGGCACAGGGGGTAGAGAAGGGTGAGGCTGTCATTGGGCTCTCTCTCTGGTCCAAGACCTGCTGGAGCTCACCGGGTACATTCGAGTTTCAGGGTCCTGTGCAGCAGGGATCGTGGGTCTCACGATGCCTCGGTCTTGCCTCTTTGGGGACACTGTCAACACGGCCTCCCGGATGGAGTCCACAGGACTGCGTGTGTATCTCATAACTTCTATCCTGCACAAGGCAGAGACTCTTTCAATAACCTGTGCAGCCTGGCTGTTTAATATAGTTCTTAGTAACCAAATCACCACCTGGTGGCAACGTACCCTAGTTTTCAGGAAAGCAACTACTATGTTGGTGCAAAAGTAATAGCTATTTTGGCATTAAAACTAATGACCGCACCATTCTCCTGCCTCAGCCTCCCGAGTAACTGGGACTACAGGCGCACGCCACTGCACCCAGCTAATGTTTTGTATTTTTAGTAGAGACGGGGTTTCACCATGTTAGCTAGGATGGTCTCCATCTCCTGACTTCGTGATCTGCCCGCCTCGGCCTCCCAAAGTCCTGGGATTACAGGCGTGAACCACTAAACCCGGTAGGCGGAGCTTGCAGTGAGCCAAGACTGCAAAAAAAACAAAAAACAAAAAAACAACAACTAGCCGGGCACGGTGGCTCAAGCCTGTAATCCCAGCACTTTGGGAGGCTGAGACGGGCGGATCACGAGGTCAGGAGATCGAGACCATCCTGGCTAACACGGTGAAACCCCGTCTGTACTAAAAAATACAAAAAACTAGCCGGGCGAGGTGGCGGGCGCCTGTGGTCCCAGCTACTCCGGAGGCTGAGGCAGGAGAATGGCGTAAACCTGGGAGGCGGAGCTTGCAGTGAGCTGAGATCCGGCCACTGCACTCCAGCCTGGGCGACAGAGCCAGACTCAGTCTCAAAAAAAAAAAAAAAAAAAAAAAAACCAACTAACGGCCACAGCTGCAATTACTTTTGCACCAGCCTAATAGAAGGAGATGATATATGTCATTGGCTCTTTTAACTTTCCACACAATATTTATGGTGATCTCATGAGGGCATTAGCAGAGAAAACAATGACTCAAGAGGCAGGAAATCTGGGTCCTAGCCCTGGCTCTGCAACTGACTTGCTTAGTGTCCTTGGGCAAAATGTTCTTCCTGTAGGCCTCAGTTTCCCCATTGTACAAAAAAGAGACCCTTTAAAGTGTGTGTGTGTTTTTTAATTGGTCACGTGCCACCTCCCTTTATGCTGGGGCAGCCCTGACAGCAACATGAAGACATCCCCAACGTTTTTGGCCCTTACTGGCAGCAGGAGCTACCACAATGGCTTGGCTAGAGCAGCTAAAATGTTGAAGGCCCAGGTCCTCTGCCTCTGGCTATGTAGGTTGCTGCTCCTTAATGTTCAGGGTACATCCTGCATAACTGGACGCTATGGCTTTACTGGGAAGTCCTGCTCTTAAAAGAAAACTAAAAACTGCATATCTTCCCTGACTCAGCCTTCACTGACTTCCTTACAAGTAGAAATTATGTTCCTGGGGGTTCTGACTCCGTCATGAGTTCCCCTTAACACTCAATCTATGTAATTTGCTTTTCCTCTGGGTCTTTTTTAGTGACCGACAATTCAGAGGGACAAGAGGGCCAGAAGAAGGGTGTCGCATAAATCATCACTATGTGTACGATTGATTGGAACTGCAGTCGCTGCAGGCTCCTAATGATTTTACCAAATACTGGGTATGCTGTCACCAGGTGGTGACTTGATGACTGCCTTTCTTCTCAGCGTACAGAATTCATGTCAGCCAAAGCACTGTCCAGATACTGCTCAGCCTTGATGAAAGCTACCAAATTGATAACAGAGGTCAGACTGAGCTGAAGGCGAGAGAATTTCGTGGTCTTTCTGGGAAAAGTCCCCAAGGATCCAGTTTCTGTGGGAAGCAGGGAAGATTCTCATCTGACTGATGTGACTGCCCAGAGTTGGGGATGTAGCTGGTCACCTTTACATGTCCTCTATGCTCCCCAAATTCTAAGGAAACATTGCTTCCTGGGAGCCATCTGGCTCCCTGTGAGAGGAAAGGCCAGGACAGAGAAGTCACTTCTCCTGATGGCCTATCTGTGTAGCATGCCAGTGTACAACACACATCAAAATA